CTTTCAGACTTCATATGATCAATGGTCTGACACCACCAGCAACCTTACAGTCTGAAGTGAATGGTGAACCATTTTTTGTACTCGACAATCTTGTATTTGATTTTCTCAGATAACCCAAACTACAGGCCTTAAGGAAGAGCATGCTCTATTATAACAAAGAATTTCCTCCAACAAATTGCCACAAGAAAATCTGGGAGTGGCATAACTGACAAAATTTCTTACTCTGTAGATATACATATATATAGATATATTATGACTTCGTGGTAATCCATCATTATAAAAGAATTTTTTTAGCTGGGAATGGGTTGAAATTTCTGCTTTTATCTATAGCATTGGTAGTGTTTGTGTAATTACTGGCCTATCAATAAATCAAAGAATCAAACATGATAAAATCTAGTTCAAATACTATTCATGTCAGAGTATTGGTTTTTCCACTTACTTCACCAGGGAATTGATTTATAACTAAATTACTCATAAATATGTGCTCCATTGAACTAGATGGTCAGTAGTAGGGCACTATAGAGGGTGAGTCACGTGAGTGCATTGCTAGTGGACAGTGATTCAAGACTAATCCTGGAATGGGTGTTATACATTTCCTGGATCTGGAGATCATCCTAATACACAAAAGAGTATATATATAATTTTACAAAATAGTGTCACAATCACTTGGTTTCCTAGATATGAAGGCGGATTTCTCAGCCATGAGAGCCATTAGAACTTTAGAAGGGAGTACTGTTGCAGCCTTAGCATTCTCTTTTTCATTGTTTTCTCATTTCTTTAGCTTTCTATTGTACTTAGATCTCCTCTGACCCTCTTTTCTTCTTGTTCTTTAATCTTTACCAATAAAGTTTCATATTTTTTAAATTTTTGTATATGCATACATGCATTTGTATATGACGTACACTCACAGAGTCACTAGTGAGAAGAAGAAGAGTAATATGCATGGAAGGTAAGAGACGTAGAGGTGGTCCAGAACTAACCTCTGTTGAAGTAATTATAATTGATTTTACAAACTAAATTTAATAGGAGAAATGACTTGCAATAGGAAAAATGGGAAAAGGCAAGGGTGATGATTATACATGCATCTATATTTTATAACATGTCTATATAGCATTTATAAGTACTCCTGATATGGATTTTTTTCATGGATTAGAATTCTGACTAATTTCTTAACTGATAGCATTTGTATAATTACCACATCTCATCTATTGCAGAACCTACTTTTAATTCATGTATGATGGTGAGTTCTTTGGTAAATCTGGATAAGATTTCAAATTTTCTTGGGCGGATTAGTCTATGCATGTGTGTGTAAACCCCCATTTTTATGTGTGTGTATCGTATGACATCTTAATGTTACACTTATATTTCACCTGGATGTGCACTTCTTTCACTTGGCTTTCTTAAGCCCAACAAAATTTCATAAATAAGCTTATGGATTTCCATAAATTACTGTTGATCCTTCTGTCTCTTAATACATATAGTTAATTTGTTAAAAATAAGGAAATCAATCACAACCTAAGATTGCAATCTCAATGTTAAAGAATGGTTGTTTTTTTTTTTCATTGGCAAGAAGCGCACACACCCCACTTTGCCCCTTCGGGAACTCGAACCCTCACTATCCACTTTGGGAGGTAGAGGAGATACCACTTGGCCACGAGGCCCTTGGTTAAAGAATGACTGTTAGTTTGCACATCATTCATATGGATTAGGTTGCAGCTGCAACAGAGTCCTAGGTGATGAAATAGTAATGCCATTGACTACTCTTTTTTTGGTAATTAACCATTGGTTTCTTCCTTTACCTGTAATTCCATTTTCGTAGATTGACTCATTGCAAGAAGGTGGAGCTGGGGATGATCCCATGGCAGTTGATGCTAGACCCTCAGGAGGAGTTCTTCCACTTGCATGCTCTGAGGTTGTGGACTCATTGCAAGGAGGTGGAGCTGGAGATGATCCCATGGCAGTTGCTGCTGGACCTTCAGGAGGAGTTCTTCCACTTATATGCTCTGAGGTTGTGGACTCATTGCAAGAAGGTGGAGCTGGAGATGATCCCATGGCAGTTGCTGCTGGACCCTCAGGAGGAGTTCTTCCACTTACATGCTCTGTGGTTGCGGACTCATTGCAAGAAGGTGGAGCTGGAGATGATCCCATGGGACTTGCTGCTGGACCCTCGGGAGGAGTTCTTCCACTTACATGCTCTGAGTTTGTGGACACTGCTTCAGGGACTATTAGAACAGGTAACTGTTATCCTTGCTTTTCACATTTTCTCTATGAGTAGCACGAGTTCTTTCGTTGCTAAAACCCAGCATTTATCGACAACTAATGATATATTTTGTCTTCATTCTTTCCATATTTAAGCAAACAACATTCAAGCATGAAGTATACCAGAAATTCACACATCTACCAAGAATGCATTCTTGAATAAATCATTAAAAAACTGTAACTGGAAATTTCAAAATCCGCATACTTTTCTTTGTTGATACGATAAATGCTCTTGCTTTGCAGAAATTAATGACCATGTTATGACAGTTGAAGGAGATCAAAAAGGGGAAAACATTTATTTGGACCAAAACCGCCGTCAGAAGGAGATAGTTACTGCCACTGGTGGTGTTGACAACACTAAAATGCATTTTTCACCACCTCTGCTCCCCTCCCACCATCTTATGTCAGTAGAAGGAGATGGAAAAGGGGAAAACAGTAGTTTGGACCAAAAATGCCATCAGAAGGAGATAGTTAATGCCACCGGCTGTGTTGACAGCAATTCTACAAGTGGAAACAGTGGAATGCCTCGTGACAACACTCAAATGCATTCATCACCACCTCTGCTCCCCTCCCCACCACCAGCCAGTAGTTTTCCAACCCAAAGGCGAAAACCTTGCCATGGTTGGATTAGTAGTGATGATGATGACGAGGCCGGCAATTTTATAGAACTAACCCCATGGCGGGCTATTTCATTTACATCAGCTACAACGCAAAGACAAGCAGAAAATGTGATTCGTGGGACAGAGGCGCGGGCCAAGCGCAAGACCAGGTGGGATGTGAACCCTTGGGATATATAAAACCTCTCTTATGAGCAGCATGTAGTCTGTACAGTACTTTATAGTTGCACAGAAAAGATAAGGCGGACATGAAACTTTTGTTTCTTCTTTTGCGTGTGCAAACAGGTACCATCCCTCCATGGAATAGAAAAATCCAAGTTGTACTGTGCACTCGGTTCCAAACTGCATCCCATCGGATGTTTTTAGACTTTCTGGTTCATGATTTTTCTTGAATGTTTTCATATGTTGTGTTCTGCAATGACTATTTATGCAGTATATGCATGAGGATGATCAGATGTTTTAGAATGTTTTTGATTATACTAGTTGAAATCAGTCCATTGTTTTGCCTACCACTTTGTGAACCCATTGTGTTTCTTGATAGCTTTAATGTTCAAAGAAATAGTTCTAATGAGTTGGTATACCTCATTTCTATTTTATCTGCTGATTTAAGGTGATGGATGACTAGAGAAGTAAGATTACTCTCTGTAGCTGTTTAAAGAGCTCTTTCCTTATTTTGTGCACTTGTGACGAAATTGCATGGACCAGGGCTAGGCCGAATTCAAGCTGGCCTATTTATGGGTGGGATGAATTTTTGTTTTGATTATATTCCAACTTTATTTCATGATGATTGCTAAATTCCTCTACATTTTCAAATGGCTTCAAGTCACAATGGGAGCATGTGTCTTAATAAAATTGCCTATTGAAACTAGGAACTTATTTCTTGACTAGAAGTCTATAACCTATCAAAAGGAATAAAAAAAGAAAAAGAAAAAAAAGAAAAAAAAGAAAAAAAGAAAAAGGAAAATGGAAAAAGAAAAATGTCTCAATCATTATCATATTTAGGATGAAAAAACTGGGGCAAGATATAATTCAAGTGGAGTAGGATTTTATTCTGGGACCCATTAGATTGTGGACTAAAATTAAATTTTGTGGATGGTAACTTATTACGCATGTATATTCATAGCCTAGAAATGCAAGATTCAAGCAATAATGATGTGGCTATGGAGTTCATAAGTTTATTTAACAACTCATTCCTCATCGCCACATAAAGTGTCTGGAATCCATTTGTGTATTCTATTTAGTAATCTTTGAAATTGGGGTATTCTTCAAAATGTTCCGTTCTTAAACGGACATTGCATCGCAACATCGGACGGATCCCAACTCACACACAACACAGAGGATCCCAACTCTGAATTATAACATCGGACGGATTTCAGCTCACACACAACATAGAGGATCCCAACTCTCTGAATTACAACATCGGACGAATCTCAACTCACACACAATATAGAGGATCCCAACTCTTCATCGTGAAAAAACTGGGGCAAGATATAATTCAAGTGGAGTAGGATTTTATTCTGGGACCCATTAGATTGTGGACTAAAATTAAATTTTGTGGATAATAACTTATTACGCATGTATATTCATAGCCTAGAAATGCAAGATTCAAGCAACAATGATGTGGCTATGGAGTTCATAAGTTTATTTAACAACTCATTCCTCATCACCACATATAGTGTCTGGAATCCACTTGTGTGTTCTATTTAATAATCTTTGAGATTGGGGCATTCTTCAAAATGTTCCGTTCTTGAACGGACACTGCATCACAACATCGGACGGATCCCAACTCACATACAACACAGAGGATCCCAACTCTGAATTATAACATCGGACGGATCCCAGCTCACACACAACACAGAGGATCCCAACTCTGAATTATAACATCGGACGGATCTCAACTCACACACAACACAGAGGATCCCAACTCTTCATCATGATGGGTACTCTCAAGAATGAGTTCAGGCCCAGGTCCACTATTTATAAGCCCATATATCGGGCTCTGGCTCAAGTTCCATAGCCCATTTAATTGTTTTTGTTTTTTTGGTTGAATAAAACCATTTAATTGTTTTTGCTCGATGAAATTGATATATATATCTATTTTTTTTTGTTGATATTTTTAATTTAAAACGCTGCGTTTCGATGGAGAACATGTATTTAGCAGCGAATGGTCAAGAACTCATCTTTCTTATCTCTTCATTCGTCACACTGATGGCTTCAGTGGTACTCGGAACACTACCAATGGCCTCACAGTCACTGAAGCTCTCTCCTTCACTATCCTTCTCTCACTCTCAATCCTCTGTTGGCATCTCTGTCCCAACTTCTTCAATTTCACTCTCCACCTCTGCATCGCTTCCACTAAGTATGTAAAATCACAATATATATATATATATATATATATATATATATATATACACACACATATATATGTATTTATGTTTGCATCTGTTCCTGTTTCAAATTTTAATTTCTTTGTTATTAGTTTACTGTGGCAGAGGTGACAAGAAGACCGCCAAAGGAAAGCGCTTCAACCACTCATTCGGAAATGTGAGTTTTCTTTTGATAATAGTTAGGGTTTTGTATGTTACATGAAATTAGGGTTTTAAATTTTATGATAAATGTGTGTATAGGCGAGGCCCCGGAACAAGAATAAGGGGAGAGGCCCTCCCAGGGTTTCGGTTCCTCCGGCGCCGCCAAAGAAAGACCGTTTTGATGACGATGAGGTGGTGAAGATCGACATTGATGAGTCTCTGTTCTAGTTTAATCTATGGAGAGCTCAATTTGGTTGGCAATGTAATTTCTGATCTCTATATTACTTTTGTTGTTACAAGTTGTGCTTTTGCGTATTCGTAATTGCAAATCATTACTGCAATTTGTTTGTAATGTCTTCCCTGTGAATCTGCGCATTGGGTTTTTTCATCTTAATTAGTGAATTAGTTCATCATAAAATTCAATGCTGTTCGGAAAAACGTACAAAATTTGAGGTTATGAACTTGTGACTATTGGGGTCTACTTTCAAATGACTAGAAATAGTGTGAAAGGATGAAAATGGTTAAGGATGGATAAGGTCCACAGAAACGGTAAAATTAGTGTTAAAAATCATTGGAAAACGGAGACAAAGCTGGGACTTTTTTGTTGGCCAAAGCACTTTGAAACTTTTTCCACAAGTTTTTTGGGAGTTAAGGGTTTATCTCTGTTATCATATGCATATCTTTTAGAAATGAAAATTTTAATTTTGAGTAGTAAAAAAGTATTTTGATGTTGGGTGATTTGCTAGATGGAGTTGGTATTATAGGAAGTGCATATTTCCAACTACATGGGTGGGCTAAATGAATCTTCTCTTTAGTTACTGCCTGTTAATGGTAGTTCTAATAAATCATTTATGAATGTTGGCTGAGTTTTAGAGTAGCTGATACCCTGTTTCAAACAAAATTATTTATTTATTTTTTTCTGGTGTAGAGTCCTGTAGTGGACATAAAAATGGTGCAATCTAGAGAAATGTGCCATTTGATTGTTCAATATCAGGAAACTAATTGATAGAGATCCTCTAGTGTCTCTCATCTTCTAAGTTGTGTAGGACAGGATGGCCATTGTTGGCTTTATTTTAGCCAGGAGAGCCTTGCTAGGCAGCCCATATCATTCTAGATGTATTTTAGTTCCATATTACTGTTAGAGACCCCTAGCAGCATATTGTCAAAGGCTCAAAGAAAAGGATTTAACTGGGAAGATTATCATACGATAAACATGCTCATCTTTCTTCCTCTTCTTCTCAATTCTCTTCTGTTGCTTATTTCATATTTAGAAAATAGCAGTTTGATAGCACTGATGAAAGGTGGAATACTTCTTTAAGCAAATTGTTGAACATAACAGTTAGGTTACCGGTTACCTACATTATTGGTTATAGTATTTTACCTATGTTTATGTGATTAAGGTAAGGATGATGACAATGATGCCCTATGTTGACTATTGAGGCCTATGCTTGTCCACAAAGGTTGTGCTGATGATTAAATTATTGGATTCTGGTTTAAGGCTGAACTAGAATGCTAAAAATATTGTGAAATTAAGAGATCTAAGCAGTTAAAAGGATCACGATCTGTGGTGGAAGGTTTCAGTCCAACACACAAGAGTTATTTTAAATTAAAAATCCCTTCCCTTGAACAGTCATCTAATTTGACGTATTGTACCTAGCAGAGTAGCAATTTGCATGCCAAAAAAGGGTTGCCTTTTTGTACTTTGAAACAAGGTAGAAAGAATTGCAAATCAGGAAAAAGTTATTAGGGTTATTACGCTCCATTTTCGGGGCGCAAACCCAAAGAACTCCAAATTGTAGAAAGGACAGTGAAAGGTTATCAAATACTTCTTGAGGTCAAAACATTACCAAGGGCTGGTACTGTTCTATGTGAAAATTGGTCTTTCTAAAACTCTTAATATGCCAGAGCTCTTCATAATTTGGTGTAAATTCTGTCTCTGGATCATGTTAAAAGCTTTTTTGTAATTATGATTAAGAGGTGAGATCGATGGAGGTGTCAAAATACATTAGTGTCAGAGTATTTTAATAGCAATTACCTATTTCTCGACTTAATATACACATATATATATATATTCCACATTTAAAATTTATGGAGAAGAAGTTGAACATATACAGGACTTTCTCCTTTGAGGCTATTGGGTTGACATAGAAGTCATTTATGGACATGTGAGCAGAGGAGGAAAGAGAGGAGGCGGCACTGTTGTATCTTCAACAGGGACTGCATTGCATCTATAGGGGTGGCTATGTAGTGATAATGTGGTGTCGAGGTGGGTAATATAAAAAGGCTTCTCCTTGCTCACAAGGCTTGCGATCACATTAGATATTGTGCATGTATATATTCGGATTTGCTGCTAAACGGTTTTGGACAGGAATGAGGGATGCTATACTAAACGGTGACGGAGATGGAAAAGAATCCCGTCCCAAAACTGATCAATTGCTTACTATTCTTAGATATGATTTATTTGTTTGTGAACTTTATCCAACCTCTTTTATTTAGATACCCACACTATGTCTATATGTTTGTAATAACATGTACTCGTATAAAAGATGCACAATACAAGAAACAATGTCTATACGTTATGGGTATTTAACATTTTATGCATATAAAAGATATATGTACTCGTATACATACATATGAATCCAGTACCCATGACTGCTATGTACTGCAATAACAGGCATTGTTGCCTTGCTTCTCAAACATGAGTTATGGTTGTTTCTTCAGACCACCGCTTTCAAACTTCATGACCCTGTAAACTCTGTGAAGAATCAAAAGAGAAGAGAGAATTATCAAGGAAACTATTATCCTAATGACCTGTGATTCTTAATAAATATATCTATATGCACTTAAAACATGGAATTGTGTTTTCAAGGTATAGAATTCATATTAATTGAATAATGATTGGCCATGGACAAGGCTTGCTCAAAATTCAGCACACCTTAGAAATGAAGACCAAGTTTTCCCATTACTACAATCATCATGTACCTAGGAGAAAAAAGGGCCCTTGGATGAGTTGTCATTTTCTGGATACTGAGGAGTTCAACCAATAATAACAGGCATGTAAGTTTGATTTTTTGACTCTTACTATTATGCCTTAGGACCTCTTCGAATGCCTTGAAGAATGTTCTTGACCAAATTCAGCTCATGAATAACATCAGTATTGTCCATTTGATTATGTGGTGATTCCATGGAGCAGGCAACTCCTATTCTGATCATGGAAATCAAACACTCCTTTCCGATGTCGTTTCTTGATTCTTTTAGAAGCGTTGGGTCTGCTGTTTCTTGATTCTTTTAGAAGCGTTGGGTCTGCTATCTCCGTAACATGGTTTGGCAAAGCCATCCTAGCAAAGGTATGAAGGTCAAGGCCTTCCTTGAACATATTGTGAACAGGTTTCTTTCCAGTCATCATCTCCAACACCAAGATTCCATAACTATATACATCCCCTTTTGTTGACACCTCGCTTCCCAAGTCATACTCTGCCATGCACAGAAGTTAAAATTCCACAAAATTAAAAGAACAAAACCAAGCATGATTCTTTTATTTTGGCAATTGAATCAAACATGATTTCGATGATCATAAAAAAAATAAAAAAATAAAGATCAGAAAAATTAACAAAGGTGGGAAGCACATAACAAAATGAGAATGCTTGTTTGTATTTGAAATTATGGGCTGAAAAGTGACTAAACTCTAATGATCAGAAATTCTACGCCTTAATGAACTAGGAACCAATTAACAATTCCATATTGTTTTTTCTTCTTTTCCAGTTCTATGTTACATCACAACTAACAGAGAACTTGTAGCGTATTTACCGAAGCAAATTTATTGTAATCCTAGAGGAAACAAATATAGATTAAAAAAAAAAAAAAAACAATAGTAATGTACAGTGATTACCTGGAGCAGTATAGCCAACAGTTCCCCTTACTCCAATTGTACTGCTTTGGTTTTGAATTTCGGATTCTTGAAGAAACCTTGCCAGCTCAAAATCTCTGACATGAGCAACCATGTCACCGTCAAGTAGGATGTTGCTTGGTTTTAGATCACAATGAATGATGGGAATTTCACAATGGATGTGTAATTATTCTACTGCACAAGCCACATCAATTGCAATGTTTATTCTTTGAAGCATGTTTTGGCTTTGCAGCTCATTCTGTCCATCACTTGTTTCTGGACTCAAATGCAACCACCTCTCTAGACTCCCGTTGGGCATGAACTTGTAAACTAGAGCTTTGAAATCATTACATTGAAAATGTATGCTTGACAGGAAGTTATGACCTTTACCAAATTTGTCAAATATTTCTCATTGATTAACACTCAGCGGTGAAACTCTTGGAAGCTCCTCGATGTTGAAGGTTTAATACTTCGATTGCAACAATTGCATCATTGTGGTTAAGGATTCCTTTATAGACAGATCCATAACTTCCCACACCAACCAAATTTGATAAACCTGAAAATCTCAAAAGTTGTTTGGGTATGGCTCCACCAAGGTTTGTTATGAGAAAGTTCCAGGTTTAACAAATTTTTGCAGTTTCCAAGAGTCGACGGAATATTCCCCTCTAGTCTGTTGTCTCCCGTGTAAAGCTTGATCAACAATGACAAGTTTCCAAAAGAATATGGAATTTCTCCAAAGAATTTGTTTGTTCTAAGATCGAATTGTTTTAATATTTGAAGATTACCAATGTTAGCTGGAATTGTACCCGTGAATTGGCTATTGTCTAGGTTTCAACATCCCTCTTAATTGGTTATATCTTATACCTAATACTTCCAAATTGCTACAGTTGGCATGGAACCAATGAAGTCTAGTTCATCAGGTTCTCCACCTCCAAAACTATTATTTTCTAGATTGAATTGCCAGAGATTCTTGAGGCCTCTAAAATCAACTGCTATTTTCCCATTGAAATTATTGCCCTCCAGTTCAAGCCAATCTAGATTCGAACAGTTGGACTATTGGACAATTGGTTACCCCATAATTGAAAGAGTTGGAGATGAGGTAGCATCAAACCAATGCTCGGTGGAAGATTACATTGAAGTTGATTATCACACCAGGAGAGAATAGTAAGCAAGGATAGATTATGCATTGAAGTAGGTATCAGACCAGAGAATTTATTGCGACATAAACCAATTTCTCTTAGTTGTTTCAATTGACCCAAAGCACCTGGAAAACTTCCCGTGAAGTGATTTTGAAGGGTAGAGAGAGTTTCCAGAGAATGAGAGAGTAAGATTGATTGGCAATGGAAGAAGGGATCTCTCCCGTTAAATAAGTGTTCACATGAATGATAAGTTGTTTGAGCTTGGACATTGAACCAAGTTCTTGTGGTAGTTTCTTGTGACAGGTTACCTGGGATTTCTCCTTCAAAGCTGTTGTTGTTGAGGTATAATCTCCGCAACCTGAACAGTTGACCAAGTTGAGGAGGGACTTCACCTTGAAGTGTGTTGTTGTAGAGCATTAGGTCTCGAAGAAAGCTCAAGTATCCTACATAAGGAGACAATGAACCCACCAAACCTTTGGACGACACCTTTAACACCTTCCCACTCGCAGAAATGGGAAGAATCATTCCACGAGCTCATGACACCTCGAGGGTCATGAATAATCTTTGACTTGAACTTCAGCAAGGCAAGAAGATCTCTCTCATTTCCATTAAAGCTACTAGTACTGGCAGTGGCGTTGGGGAGGATACTTATGATCATATGCAGCAAGGTGATGAACACAAGATAGTGTTCGTAGGGAGTTGAATCGTCTCAAATAAGTCATTGATCCATTGGGGAATTGGGAACCACACCTAATGGATGACTTGAGACTTCCCACTCGCCACTGTTAGCGGGAGTTATGTGCGGGGTAGCTTAGGATTACTTTTATTCAAATTAACTTTGAAAAAAAAATAAAAAGTAAAATTTGATGACAAACTTTGAATTGGGATTAATTTGTCACCTATTTGAGCATGTTTAGAGCAAATGATTACAACCATGGCAACGGCCCATTTTCTTTTTCTTTCATTAAGGAATTAAAATATACCATGTCGCGAACCTTGTTCAAATGGTTGAAGTATGAAATCGACCCAAGTCCAAACAGGCCGGCAATAATTGGTTGTCTTTCAACGGAGACAGAATAAGTACTTTTCGTGGTTTGAGGCCAACGGCCTTACAAGATTGGATTTAAACTTCCAATCCCATTCCCTTCTTCCCTGCTGGTGCATGGATTTCAAATTATAACCGCCTTAATTATGCTGTTTTGTCTTAATTTTATTCTATATTATTATTATTTTTTGGACATACATGAATTTTGTTGGAAACTATACAATTATTTGATTTTTAAACTTACTTCGGGCAAGTAATTCCCCCCTTGCTAAAAAGTTGAAAAATATATAACTCCCGGGATATAAAGAGTTTAAAATGTGTGACACTAGGCTTGCTTAGTTTGTAACTTTGAACTTATAAAACAGAAAACTGTTATCAGAGAACAATCTTTTATAATTATATGAAAATAAACACTTTTTTACCAACAGGTCAGTGACCTAGTGGTATCAGGTCTGTAATTTTCAAAGAGAGATTAAGAGTTTAAGCCTCAATGGAGGCATATGTGTGTGTGAGTACCAATTAAGAAGAAAAAAATAAAAGAGACAATTTTATAATTGAGTTTTTAGAAAATTGAACAAAACAGAACTTTTTGTACAGTTGTCTGTTTTTATAATTACCAACAAAACAGTCCCAATTTTTAAATCTTATAGAGGAACATCCTTTTAACTTTAAATACGAAGTAATAAAAATAATATTTCAGAAAGGGCGCGCGTGTTTTTTTTCACACCAAACATCAACTATATAATTAATTTGAAAATATATTTTTATATATTTTCAACAAATCTGGAATGTCTTCACTATCATAATTTCTTTTAATTAAAAATATCACCCGTTGTTGTATACGTTTTTCATCTCTTGTATGGGCCACAAGGCCCACAATGCCTTGTTAGTTATTGCCATGTAGGCAGTGGGGCTGGACATAGTTCATTTATTGGACCTAGAGTCCTAACTCAGCTTGGTATGTAGTAAATATGGGCCATCAAATGACTGTATACATCTCATGTAACAAATTTATTTATTTATTTATATTTTTTTTTGTGGCTTGTAGCTATACAGGGGCCATCATGTCATTTAGATATGTAAAAGTTACACCAGCCTTGGCCAACAGGAAAGGAAATAGTGTGTGGACCGGTGTAACACAGCGGGAAAATAAACTACTGGAAGGGCAGTTGCGCTAACCACTATTTCTAGCATTTCTCTTATGTTTCGTTTGGTTGAAAGAAAAAAAATTAAATGGAAGGGAAAAAAAAGAGATGAATTAGATATCCCTAAGATTCTCTTTTTCTGTTTGGTTGAATAGAAGAGAAGAGAATGTAATAATACCTTCTTTTATTTATTAGAATAGAGGGAAGAGAGGCTAGTGTTAATTATAAAGAAAGTTTTGTAATTTTAGAACTTTTATAATAGCTTTGTTTTTATATTTGAAGGGATGAAAATTTGTAAAGAAGAAAAGATGACTCATCCATTTATACTAATGTTATGTTTGGTTGGAGGAAAGGATTGAGGGGGGGATGAATGAGAGGAGGGACGGATAAATATTTTCATATTTGGTTGGAGGGAAGGGAAGAGAGGGAGGAAACAAGGAGGGATGCTTCATCACTCTTTCCTTTATGTTTTTCTATTCCCCACTTTTGGGGGGAAGAGAGGAGAGAATAAGGCATAACTACTTATAAATTTATAATTTATAATTTTAACCTTTTAAAAAATTTTGAAATAAATATCTACCTTTTATAATTTTATATAAAATGGTGTATTAATAAAAATAATATAAGAAACTATCATTCCTTTCATTTTAACCAAAAAAGAAAAAAGTATCACTCTATTTATTCTTTCTACCATCCATTCCATTCAACCAAATATAAAATGGGAAAGACACCCTCCCTCCTCTAGGGAAATTTCATCCATCCCTCCCTCCCTCTATCTCTTCTATCTATTTTTCCATCCCTTCAACCAAACGAAGCATAAATGAAAGAAATTTGTTTCTTCCATCCTATCTTCTTTTCACCCCCTTTTCTTTCCTTTCTTCTTACCAAATGCAGCATTTGAGTGGGCCATCTCATTAAGTATTATTTTCTCACAAGTATTTTTGGCAGAATTTACAGGCTTTAACCCTCCTGACCAAGCATGGGCTTAGTACTAAAATGCAAGGGTTTGTTTAATTGCCATAAAAATTGCATATATTTCAATAAGTGCCAATGATACTTTCATTACTCTGTGGGCGCGCGTATATAAGTATGAAAACAAATGGATTTAAGAGAAAACATGATGGAGAATAGATGAATTAGCAATTGAAAGAGGGAAGGCATGGAGAGCCAACAATGGCGTCCCAATATGGTAGAGGAATGCAACAGTCACGTCACTATTACTATTGGGCATTTAAATATTGCTGATTGAACAAGACATGACATGACATAAATCTAAAGTGCCCCAACAACAATTAAGGAGAACTTTGTCTACTATGAAATGCACTTCACGCAATTTAACAACAATCATATCATATATTCCATGGTGGGATCAATGTGAACCATACACGAGTTTGTGCTTTATATAGTGCGCCAACAACAATTAAAGAGGACTTTGTCTACCTTGAAATGCGACAATAGACACAATTTAACAACAATCATAACATATATTCCATTGTGGGATCAATGTGAAACATACACTTTTTTTGTGCTTTATATATATATATATATATATATATATATATGTGTGTGTGTGTGTGTGTATGTATAATATATATATATAGTATAATATATATATATTATACATACACACACACATATATATATATTATAAATTTTCTTGGTCTTTTGCAGTTGTTTATGAAGTCTTTTCTCAGCGCTGGAATGTGTATGTATATAAATAGAGTGATGAATACAAGCCATAAAGATAGTAGAGTCATATCAACTAATATATTTTTTTGCACCATTAGAGTTCGAACACTTAACCTCTTCAAAGGAAAGAGAGCTTATACCATCTAAATTAGAGCCATTGCTGTAAACTCTCTTTTTCTCTCTTTACGCACCTCTTCTCTTCTTCACGTCTGTCGCTGCCGCTGCCATGCAAGCTTAGGACAAGGATCCTCTCCAGTGCTGGACCTCTCCTGTACAGAATTCAATGAGTGAGATTGTATCACCACTAATGAGTCCCATTTAACAATTCAATCTCACCCTAGTCCAGCATTGGAAAGAATCCTTGTCTGTAAGCTTAATGCTGGAGGTGGGATAAATAAATGTGTAACTGAATGTGAGTGGCCTTGAAACACCCAACTTAATTACTGTTGTTGAGAATTAATGTGGTAGTAGTTGGTAGTGTGGGCGGAAGGGTGAGGATGTTGAAAAGACAAAATGGGTTGAGTACGAGCTCATAAAGACACCAGAGGCTTGCCATCTCAAATATATTCTTTTAACCTATCAATGGTAAGAGAGTTGGTAGGAGTTAGGAAGCAGATTTGAACCTAGGGACATATGGTAGAGGCACTTTAAGATTTGATTATTTGCTATTCGGACAACACCATCATACCTTTATAATATTCTCAACTTACATTAGCCTTCTTTCTCACAAATTATGATTTTCCATATACCCCCCGAACTTTCCTAGTTCAAAAATTAAACACAATTTATGTGGACTAGTGAGAAACACACGTGGTACCAAAATTTCCATAGTTCTATATAAAGAGGAATGCTAAGAGGAGTTGGACTTATCTTGTGAGTTTTACAGTGAGAACCACAAATTTAAGAATTGTTGTTGCAGGTACAATGGCGACGGTGCTTCGTACCCTTTTACCATTGAAAAGGACCATTCTTCAACCGATGCACCAATTAACTTAGGCCCAACCTACTGGAAGGTTAATTAATCCCAGCCTATCCTTCTGTATGTGATACGGTTTTCTCTTGTTCATTCTTACATTTCAAGCTCCACCTTTCACACCATATATAAAAATCTTGGTCATTCACTGTGTTTCTGCTTGGAGAATAAAAAATCTTCCGATGGACCACCAACCAGCAACACTCCCACCTCACATACTCTTATTTCCTTTTCCAATTCAGGGCCATGTGAAACCCACGCTCAACCTAGCCGAGCTTCTCTGTCTTCATGGCCTCCATGTCACCATACTCATCTCTGAGTACTGCCGTACCCGCCTCTTACGCCTCGGCAATGTCCAATCTGGCACCCTTCTCCATCCTGCATTATGTTTTAAGACCATATCGGATGGCCTCCCCGAAGACCATCCGCGTGTTGGTATGCGAGTCATGGAAGTTACACCTCCTAACATAGTAGGACCACTTTTCAGGGAGTTGATGACATCCACCAATTGCCTGGGCTCTGAAACCCGAAAGCCCCTGACGTGCATCATAGCAGACGCGATCCTAAGTTTTTTAGGTGATTTCGCTATAGAAAAGGGAATACCATTCATTTATTTCCCTTCCATCAGTGCTTGCTCCTACTGGACTTCTTTCTGTATTCCCCAAGTCATTGAAGCAGATGAAATTCCCTTGAAAGGCATGTTTTGCCACTCTTGTTTTCTTTATGAGATTTAGATAATAACTCTCGTGTGAGAGGAGAGCCATCCCTCTCTCTAAAAGAAAGAGAGAGGTTGTAAACTCAACACACGATGGCTCTCCGACCAATCATACGAGGGAGGTAACGGTAGACAACAAACCTCTTTCTTTAATATGAGAAAATTAATGACCTGAAAAGAAAAGACACTCTTTTCATTGACTAACCACATGATCATATGCTGCTCTCATTAAGTCAGTATGCGTTCAGGAAATGACATGGACTTGCTTGTTAAAAGTGTACCGGGCATGGAAGGTTTTCTCCGGCGGCGTGACCTCCCGATTTTCCGTGCTGACGACATCAATGATCCAAAGCTTCAATTCTTAAAGACTGAGTGCAGAAAAAATCTTGTAGCGCATGCCCTCATAATGAACACCTTTGACGACTTAGAAGAATCCATTCTCTCTCAGATGCACACACATTTCCCCAATATATACACCATCGGACCACTACACGTTCACCTGAGAATCAGACTCGCTGTCGCCGAGATGATCTCATCCTCCACCTCAACCACTTCTGTCAGTTTCTGGGAAGAAGACAGAAAATGTTTGACTTGGCTTGATTCACAGCCGTCCAAGTCTGTCATCTACGTGAGCTTTGGAAGTATCACTGTCATGACAAGAGAGCAACACATGGACTTCTGGTATGGTTTGGTGAATAGTGGGCAACGATTCTTGTGGGTCATACGGCCGGACTTCTTCGCCTCCGGCGAAGATGTGGAGAGTCAGATTCTGACGGAGCTGGAGGAGGGTACAAGAAAAAGAGGGTTCATGGTGGGTTGGGCCCCACAGGAAGAGGTGTTGGCACACCCTGCTACTGGAGGGTTTTTGACTCACAGTGGGTGGAATTCGAGTATGGAGAGTATAACTGCAGGAGTGCCAATGATTTGCTGGTCTTACTTTGCGGACCAAATGGTTAATAGTAGGTTAGTGAGTGAGGTTTGGAAGCTCGGTTTAGACATGAAAGATACATGTGATCGAGTAGTGGTTGAGAAGATGGTTAGAGACCTGATGGAAGTGAGGAAGGATGAGTTCCAACAACGAGCGGATCAGATGGCAAAGAAGGCCAAACGAGCTGTGAGTGAAGGTGGATCATCCTACTTTAATTTGGACCGTCTAATTCAGGGCATAAAATCGATGATTGTATGATCATACATTTAATCCGATGTTATTTATATTAAAACTGGACTTTTGAAGCAAAGTGAGGATCACACAATAACTGTAACTCTTTCTGTATTTGTCTCATATCAGGGGCTATGTTTTCTGTGCATTAGTTGAATGTACCTTACTTTCCAACCGACTTCTGTATTATTAACCCTACCACCCTATCTCTAATTACTCTATATATCCTCTCTATCTCTAGTTAGAGAGGATATATTTACTCCATCGATATGTGGTTTCGGTAATCTCCAAAGGATATAATTTTACCATACATCTTATTTAAATAGACAATGCAACACCCATTCATTCAAAATCGTTATATTGTTATTGAATTGCAGTTGAATTGTCAATTTAAAGTATGGGCATCGACTCCTGTTGTTAGTTATTGCCATGTAGGGTAGTGGGGCTGGGCATAGTTCATTTATTGGACCTACAGTCCTACACTAGTAAATATGGGCCATCAAAAGAATGTCTACATCCCACGTAACAAATTAATTTAAATTATTATTATTATTATTATTTTTGTGTGGCTTGTAGCTATACAGGGGCCATCATGTCATTTAGATATGTAAAAGGTACACCAGCCTTACCCAACAGGAAGAGAAATAGCGTATGGACTGGTGTAACATTATAACTATTGGATTGTGGAAGTGCAGTTGCGTTAGATGAAAGGGAGAAAAGAAGAGATGAATGAGACATTTTTAAGAAGAAATTTTTTTTCCTCTTTTGGTTTGGTTAGATGAAAAAGAGTATAGAATAGGATAATACCTTATTTTGTTTATTACAAGAGAATGAAAGAGAGTTTTAATTATAACTTCTATAATAGTCTAGTCTTTTATTTATTTTTTATTTTTCGCGTCTTTTATCTGTACTTGGAGTGATAAAATTTGTAAAAAATAAAAAATGACTCATCTATATATCTTCTTTACAAAGAAAATTTGCTTTTTCCATCCTGTCTTTCTCCCACCCCTTCCTTTCTTCCAAATTGAGCATTACCATACACATTGATACATTGATAGACGAATTAAGGGTGCAAATTGGTCGGCGCAACTCATAAGTATGTTTGATAGAATTTACAGGCTTGAACCCTTGTACACATGGGCTTAGTACTAAAATGCAAGGATTTGTTTATAAAAATTGCATATAACCTATATATATATATATATATATATATATATATCTTTCTATGAATGCCAAAGATACTTTCATTACTCTGTGGGCGCGCGTGCGTATATAAGTATGAAAACAATTGGATTTAGGAGAAAACATGGTTGTGAATTAGCAATGGAAAGAGTGAGGCATGGAGAGCCAACCATGGCGGTCCCAATATGTTGGAGGAATATAACAGTCACAGAAAATAATAAAAATTAAAATTTTTTAATGCTTACCAAGTCAATCCAAATGGATGCAAATCAAATCCTAATTTAACTTTTCCCCTCTTTCTCTTTTTCTTAAACTACTGTTAATAGTGGAAATTTTGACTTTTATCTTTCATGATTTAATATGTAATCCTTATATATATATATCAATTATTTTGATACAAAGTACACCAAATTACATAAAATCTGGTTCACATAGTTTGATAAATAATTTGTTGATTAGAGGATAGATTGTTATTGCTTATTTCTGAATTTTTTTTTTTTTTTTTTAGTGGAAAACTAATATTTATGTATCATTACATTTATAGTTATTCTTTCTATTCATCATCCGGTGCTTTGTTTGTATTTTGTAATATTTTTTTATTTAAGAATTTTAGTTTAAAATGATTTTTTTTTTTCGAGACAAGATCCTCTTCTCATTCACTCCCTGAATAAAAAGAGTAACGTGAGAGAGGGGAAGAGAGTTAAATTTGGATCATATTGGGTTTAATCTGGATAACCTCTTAAATCTTTTAATTTTTATTATTGTATATTATAGGGATACGTGTTCCACTAATTTTGCACCACGTCAAGGTAAGCATATACTTTCAACTCATTGGTGAGTAGGTAAATATTATCCTTTAGATATTGCTTTAATAAGCTGATTGAACGAAATGTGACATGAATCTAAAGTGTCCCAACAACAATTAATGAGAACTTTGTCTACCATGAAATGGACTTGACAATAGACGCAATTTAACAGCAATCATATCCTATATTCCATGGTAGGAATGTGAACCATACCCATGAGTTTTGAGTTATGATATATATATATATGGTAAATTGCACTGACACCTCTTAGGTTTGGGTCATTACGACGATCAATGTACTTATTTACATTGGCATTTGAAATTTTAAATGTCATATTTACATCACACAATATCAGTAATGTTAATTGACGTTAATACCCCACCATTACCCGAAGCAACAATACACTCACACCCTGCCAATGTATTTACATATGCCAAGTTTTGTCACTGTATATATATACATGTTTATATATAAGGAGTTGTGAAATTGAGTTGTACCCTCACTCAATTTTAGTGATTCGAACAAAAATTTCAGTTGCATGTAGAGGATATATTTATTCCACCTACGTATTGTTTCGATGATCTCCAAAGTATATAGTTTTAATACACATCCCATTTAAATTGACAATCCAACACCCATTGATATATGAGCGTTATATTGTTATTAAATTGCAGTTGAATTGTCAATTTAAAGTGCATTGAATTATACTAGTACTAAAACACAAAGTATACAAGAGATGACACATGTCTATAAATATTCTAGAAGACCTAGGTACATGTGATATCCTTCGACTCCGAGACATGGGTTGATCAGGCCCAAATCCAAATCCGAGAAAACATCAAACAATTAAAGTATTTAAACGAATACAAAATACAAAATAGATTTAACAATAAATAATAAAACTGAAAGAAACTAAAATAATAAATTCTTTAATAATTAATCCAATAATAAACCTCTAATAACAAAATCCTCTGATACCAGTAATTAATTAAAATTATAACTTGGAAATCCATCACGTGGACCCCTTATCCAAAATCTAACGGAAATAAAATAATATCTGACTAAAACAATAATAAGGAAATCATACGTTAAGACGGAGGAGTGAAAAGATCGTCTCTGTTCAGCACGAATAATCCCTAAGTCTGGAACTGACGAACACCTGAAAAATAATGGTGGGTTAGGCCCACAAACAAGTTCTAATATACTATATCCTAAACAAATATTCAGAACTCATATACATCCTAATTAATTCAACAATAACTAATAGTCCATATATATATATATATATATATATATATATATACATACTAAAGGAACCTCATTAGATTATAGGATTGCCTCAACCTGAATAGCAGGTAACATGCAAAACGCACATATAGTGGGCATAAGTACCTAGACTTACTAGGGTACACAACTATACTATATCTAGCTACACATCCTTGGCAATATACGCACCCTAACCATGACCCTGAGACTCAAGCTCATATCCTGACATATAACTATATATATATAATCTGTCTTATCCAAATATAAAATAAATTTTCGGTATGTCATCCAAATGATTCAGTTGACTTGATATGAAAATATGTAGGATTTAACATTTTAGTTAATCCATTCCGTTATATATGAATAGGTAGAACTTAACGTTTTTAGTTAATCCATCTCTAATGTGCCACCATCCCATACTAGTGTATATAATGCATACAATCCAAAAATGATGCTACAGTTATGACATCACATCAAATAAATCCAAACATAGCATGATATAAATCATACCGATATTCTTTTGCATTTAATTGAGCAAAATATAACAATTCTAAGTAGCATGCATTGAATTTATCTCATAAAAATTAACATGCATCTCAAATAATTGTACTTCTCTACAATTTGATCAAATTTATTTAAAATCAAATAATTGATTAAAATAATTTAATCCAACCATGTTTAATTAATTTAACCTTTTAAATTAATTAAATTTCATACTTAACATGTGTACTTAAATTATGTTTTTAAAATCTTACATAAATCTAATTTAACAATTTAAAATCATTAAAACAGATTTAATAACAGTTCAACCTCCCAGAACGTCTCAATAATTCCACCCCAATTCATAAACATTATTTAAATATTGTAAAACATACATCATGCATCAATTTGTCCAAATTACCAAGCATATACACAAACCCATTACATATATATATACATACACTGTAATTTCAACTTTAATCATGCAATTAAGTTCAATTAATTTAATTAAATAATTCTGAAACTAATCTAGCATGTATATAATCTGAAACAAAGGAGAACAGAAGAAAAGAACTCGCTTTATGGATTTTAATAAAAATCCTAACCTCCTTCTTCCTTTTTTCCTTCTTTTTTTTTTTCCTTCTTTGTCTCTCTAAACTCCCTGCCTTTTTCCTCCAAAATATACTACGTGATTTAATTTCTAACTCCCTTTTACTAACTTACAAAATAACCTAATCATTTTCCCAATCTAAATCAACTTAATAAAAGAAAATAAAAAATTAAAATATTAAAAAAGTAACTAAAAATATATTACGTACATAATCTATATATATCTTTATTACACAAATATATAAAATATATACATTAGATTATTAATACTAAGTTACAATAATATTAATTAATTATTTACTTTTCTTATATATATATATATATATAGATATTCATGGGTAATTATCCTTACCCATTAAACCTCCTATCTAAGTAGTCCATGCGACCCAATTGGTAGGTTCATTATTACTAACCATATCCATAAAATAAAATAAAATAAAACAAAATAAATATTTAATTATTTAATCTACAATTAATTACAAATAAACAAAACATATCAATTAAATCAACTAATTCAAATAACATTCAAGCACATACTTTCAATTAATCAGTTAAGTCAAATAAAGCATTTAAGCAAATAAAATATTTAATTAACCAATTCAATTAAACACGTAATCAAATAGCCAAATAATCAAGTAAATAAATAAAAATGTAATTAAAACATTTAAAATAATACTGAGACTATTATTTTAAAATTAGGGGTTTTACAGTACTCTTTGATAAAATTGGAAATTAAGTACTAAAAATTTTAAGAGTTGAATTTGAAGTGTTCAAAGTTTTTAAGTGGTAATTTATAAATAAATATTTTTTAATATCTTTTTGAATTTTCACCAGTGATAAGTGATGTCTCTGTCATTTAAAATTTTATCCCATTTTAAGTGGCGCATACCGTTTTTAGGATATTCAAAGTGTATTATCAAACACATTTAATTGGATAAGTGCTGAATACATTTAGAATTAAGCGCTGAATTGAGCAGTCAAATAGCATCCTAGCCTTGTTTTCTGCTTTTGGGCTAAGTAGCCCTACCTAACCCAGCTTGGTACGCATGTAAGTAGTAAATATGGGGATTACAATTTTTTTTTTAATGACCAACATAAAAAGAAATAATGTATAGACTGGTGTAACATTGTAACCATTGGTGGGCATGGGTAATTAATAATGCAGGATAGTTTGACAAGTTCGTTTTTAATATGAAAGGAGTTTTTTTTTTTTGGTGGTTGAAATGACTCATTGAGCAAGCTGCGCTAACTATGTTGATTTTTGATTGAAAATCTCTGTTTAGGACTTCGAAATCGCATTTTCTTGTCTTATAGTGGGCATGCTGATTATTTGGAGATTCTTATTCGTGGTCTAAACGAAGTCGGAATGTTCTGTATTTTTATATTCATTAGTTTTTATTGATTAGATTTTTTATTCAATGTTTTTTCTTTAGAGTTTTAGATTTTTTTAAAATTTAATTTGGGTTTATTTTTTTACTTGGTGTTAGTTTTGTATGAGTTTCTTTTACAGTTTTAGGGTTTTCATTAATATAAATATATGTACCGCAAAGAGCAAAAAATTATTTAATTCAACTATTAATAATATTTCAAAATTCTCTATAAATTTTATTTTACTTTGTGAATTTAAAGTAACTCTTTGTTCTCTTTGTGAACGATTTGCATGAACAAATTAACTATGACATTGTTTTTACTTTCCTTGCTTACGATGGCAAAATAAATTCCAAAATTCATATATAGAATACCTAGCATCCATCTACTTCATGTGTGCCAAGCATCATGCATTTATGAGTCCATAAAGACAGCGGAGTCATATCAACTCACCTGCTGTACGTAGTTGTCATCCTCGTACTTTCTGATATCTTCAAACCTTGATTTACAATCGCCTTCATGAGTGCCAAGCATCATGCATTTATAATTCTTCATGTTCTCTCATGGCATTAACCAAATCAGAGCAAGAAGAGTCTTCAATTCAATAGTAATATATAACACGGCATGTTGGTCAGGTGGTGTCACCAACTAAAAATGAATAAAAATGTATGCAAATATATTAGCAGCAGAGCTGTAAAAGTGCATATGTGTGACGAAGGCTTATTCACTATCAAATACAGTAGAGCTGTAAAAGTGCTTCTGCGTTATTTTCATTACAAACAGTTTCACAGAGAAGAGGATAAATTGAAGGCTGAACAGCATTTCAAGAGCGCCTAACCACTCAACCCCAAATGGGTGGTTCCTTCTAAACTTAACCATTATACATACATGTACGTTGGGGCAGAGCCATGAATTTGGTTTAGGGGCATATTAATATTGACAAAATAATTTTTTTTCAAACAGGCCGAAAATATAATAGTATAACAACATAGCATTAGAATATGTGAATAAAAAATAAAAAAGAAGAGAAAAAAGAAAAAGAAAAAGAAGGTTATTGCACATAAATTATGCATGAGTGCAAGAAAAAAGAAATTTTTAAGAAGAAAAATGAATTTTTTAAGAAAAAAATATGAGAGAATTTTGAAGGCAAAAATAGGTTTTAATTATAGAAAGAGAATACAAAAGTTTTTGAAGATGACAAAAAGAATTTTGAAAAATAAGAAGGAAAATGAATATTAAAGACGTTTTTAGAAATAGATAATTTTGTGGGAGATAATTTATAAATTTAATGGGGGTATTTTATAAATACTTACTTATACGCATAAAATAAAATAAAATAAAATTTAGTGAATTTAGGGGCAGATGGGTCATTTTATTAATTTTAGGGGGACATTTTATCAATTTTTACAAATTTATGTTAAAAGAAAAAAAAAAAAAAAATATCTAGTGGGGCAGCATGGGCAGGTGGGCACATGCTGTCTACGCCCCTGCATGTACATTCCACATTATTTATGGAGAAAAACGTGAGTATGTACATTTTTCTAGACTTAATTGCGGGTGTGAGTATGTGAATTTTTTTTTTTTTTCCCTAATAATTGTGGTTTTTGAATTTTGTCCCGATTATGATCATTCCACTCGGATTATGTCCTTACCGTGACCTACGAAATGTTTGATGAGACACTAATTCCAATGTTTCACCACCAGAGTCAACCCTTGAAGTTAGTGCGCGAATGTTTGTTGAACTTAATTTCCGTGAAAAAAAAAAAAAAAAAACGAAAAATCCTCATTGCTCAGAAGGCTTGCAATCACAATAGATAATGTGCATGAATAATTAATTTATTGGATGGTTGGGGAAAACCATACTTGGTCAACTTGGTCTGTAGACTCTGTATGTGTAACTGTGAAAAAGAGCGAAATTCGTTGGTTTGGAATAGATATACCTTTCAATTATTATTTTTAGGGTAAAGTATAATTTTTTTTTTTAAAATTATTGTTCTTTTGCAAATAACTTCATGAATTAAAAATTGTCCTTGAAGGGAATGAACTATTAATTTGTTATAATTAAAGAGAAATTCATCATAAAAGACTATTTTATCCTTTCTTATTAAATTTATCAATTCTTATTAAATTATTATTTTTATTATATTTTCTTTTATTTAAATATTAATTAAACAATTTACCTTAATTTTATAATTAGTATCAATTTATCATAAAAATAAATAAAAAATAAATTTGTAACTACTATTTTCTAAAATGATTACCTTATTATAAAAAAAACTTATTATACTCACTTTTAAAAAAATTAGTGTAAAAAAATAACTTTTTTTTCATACAATATTCATGAAAAATTAATAAATTAAGTAGATAAAAATTATCTTTTTTTATGCAATATGTTCATAAAAAAAAAATAAGAAATTACTTTATTTGTTTCAAAATTTTCTACTTAAGATTTTTATTTAAATAATTAATTTAAAAAATCAAAGGCAAACTTATGCAAATTTAATGAAGAATATTACATCAAATTAATTTGAATTTTTTTCATAATTTATTTTAATAAGAAAAATAGATAAAGTGTAATTCAATAAGAAATGGTATTATGGTCATTTAATTAAATATGGTCAAGGCAATGGGATATTTTGCAAGTATGAACAAAAAATACTTCAGAAAGTTATTTACAAATTTAAACATAATTCATGAGAGTTTTTTTGCACTTTATCCTTGTTCTTATCAAAAAAACTAAGAGATCTCAAATATATGATATGATAAGATCCTAACAATCATCAGCGGATCTAGGGGTGGGCTTGGGTGTGCTCAAGCTAGCCCACACAAAAGAAAAAAATTAAAGTTACAAGTAATTTAATCTTCAATTTTAAAATTCCATAGTTCCACACCTAACATTAATGTATTTAATTACTAATTAGTAAGGTTGTCACGCGTGAGTTTTTATATTTTATAGAAAAAGAAGATAGTCAAATTAGGAAACTATATCAGGCAAAAAAAAAAAAAAAAAAAAAAAAATTATGAAACTATATTAAATAAGGTGCGGTTGACAACTCCATTCAATGTATAAATTCTGAAAAAAAATCAAACAGGCATATTCAACTTAGTGCCTTTGATAACCAGTTAGGAGCTTAGAATCCACTTAAAAAGTTTATTAACCGCTTAAAATAGAATAAAATTAAAATTGAGAGAAACTTTATGTTAGAGGGGTCTTGTTTCATATTAAATTGGTTATGTTACACTATTAAGATAAGTGTTCGTCTCATTACAAGTGAGATATCGTAACCAAATCAAGTTGTTGTTAGTGTCCCCAAGTGCCCACCCAGATGAAGTCCGAGTAGCACAGGCTAAACTTCATTTCACTAAAAAAAAAAAAACACAATTATCAAAGAATTAAATTCATAATTTATAAGTAGCATTGAAAATATTAGAAAGTAATAACGGCATTCTTTGTTATCAATTTCTAAAAACTATTTTCTAAATAACAAATTTTACAAAACAATTTTTTTTCTTCTGCATGTAGTTTTATAAGTTTTCATACTTCTATGAGGTTGAAGAGTACGTGGAGGAAACAATATATATTTGTGCTAATTAAGAAATTAACCAAGTGGTTCAGAGACAAAATTAAGGATGACAATGGAGTGGATTTGGGACCATCAAGAGATTGATCAGCATTGCCGTCAATCCATTCGTGCTAAGTAGTTGTCTAGAGAGTATGTTGGCAAGAAAGAAACTCAAAGCAATTGTCCGGAGCTTGCATGAGGGGTGGAACATGTGATTTAATTCAAGAGGAGTGATAGATTTTCTGACTTCAATTGCCGACTACTCCCCTAAATATAACGTGATTGGGAATGAGTTGAAGAGAAAGAGATATTTACAGAAATTTTTTTAAGAGTTTCAATGGAATCCAACCACGTTATATTTGGGAAAAGAATCGATAATTAACCTCGAAAAACCTATCATTTTTCTTAATTCAATGCAAAATGAAGAGGTTATTAAACCAAAGTATGAAAAATATTAAGACAAATTCAAATTTTAAAAAGGATTCCCTACCACCTCAAACAACTACTCATGCTGAAAGCTACACAGCTTATAAGTTCTGTCTCATGATATCAATAATCATGCCACCAGTTCCTCAAGTTTCTGGATCTTGTCCCTCTCTCAACAATTGCAAAGTTGTATTTTTGAATAATTATTTGGGCATCTCTTGGGTACCACAGTCATCCAACAGATTGGGTATGCCCAAAAAATTTTTGTCAACTATTATGATGTCACGTACCAAAATTTTGGCACGAAGATCTGGTCCACTGCTTCTAGACTATATATATATATATATATATATATATATATATATATAATACACCGAGTCAACGTTTCACAAAAATAAAAAAATAAAATAAAAGTATTTATCGTGAATGAGAGAGAATTCCGGTTAGATCATTCTTATATTTCAAGTTTTTCCAGACCAAAACCATACTCTACAATTGTGTTACAGCTTAGAGTGTAGACAAATCTTTTAGATGGATCACCAACCAGCGACACTCCCACCTCACATACTCTTATTTCCTGTGCCGATTCAGGGCCATGTGAACCCCATGCTCAAGCTAGCCGAGCTTCTCTGCTTTCATGACCTCCATGTCACCATGCTCATCTCCGAGTATTGTCACAGTCGCCTCCTACGCCACGGCAACATCCAATCTCGCTCCCTTCTCAATCCTGCATTTCGCTTCAAGACTATACCAGATGGCCTCCCCGAAGACCACCCGCGTGTTGGTGTACGAGCTTTGGAAGCTATGCCCCCTAATGTAACAGGACCGCTTTTCAGCGAGTTGATGACATCCACTAGTTGCCTGGCCTCTGAAACCCGGAGGCCGGTGACATGCATCATAGCAGACGGGATCCTGAGTTTTGTAGGCGGTTTCGCTTTAGAAAAGGGAATACCAATCATTTATTTTCCTTCCATCAGCGCTTGCTCCTACTGGGCTTGTTTCTGTATTCCCCAAATCATTGAAGCAGATGAAATTCCCTTGAAAGGTATGTTATCCATGCCACGCACCTTTTTTTTTTTTTTTTTTTTTCCGAGATAATCAGGATGTCCGGAACTTTGCCCCGACTAATCAACGGAACTAGTGTAAGGCGACCCTCTATATGAATCTGGTAAAACTGGACATGTGTCCACATTGGTCACCTCCATGCCACTCTTGTTTTCATTTTTTTTTTTTCACAAATTAATGCAAGACTTAATAGAAAAGGAACATTTTTTTTTTTATTTTTTTTATTTTATGTGTTCAGGAAATGGCATGGGCTTACTTGTAAAAAGCATCCCGGGCACGGAAGGTTTTCTCCGGCGGCGCGACCTCCCCAGTATTTGCCGTGCCAACGATATCAACGACCCACCTCTTCAATTCATAAAGACTGAGTGCAGAAAAAATCTTGTAGCCCATGCCCTCGTAATGAACACCTTTGACGAATTAGAAGGATCCATGCTCTCTCATTTGCGCACTCACTTCCCTAATATATACACCATCGGGCCATTGAACACACACCTGAGAACCAGACTCGCCACCGAGATGACGACATCCTCCTCCTCATCCTCAACTTCTTCTGGTAGTTTTTGGGAAGAAGACCGGAACTGCTTGAGGTGGCTGCATTCCCAGCCGTCCAAGTCCGTCATCTACGTGAGCTTCGGAAGTATCACTGTAATGACAAGGGAGCAGTACATGGAGTTCTGGTACGGTTTGGTGAATAGTGGGCAGAGGTTCTTGTGGGTCATAAGGCCTGACTTCATTGCTGCCGGAGAAGATGGGGAGAGTCAGATTCCGGTGGAGCTGGAGGAGGGTACAAGGCAAAGAGGGTTCATGGTAGGTTGGGCCCCACAGGAAGAGGTGTTGGCACACCCTGCTATTGGTGGATTTCTGACCCACAGCGGGTGGAATTCAACAATGGAGAGTATAACTGCTGGAGTGCCGATGATTTGTTGGCCTTACTTTGCGGACCAAATGGTTAATAGTAGGTTAGTGAGTGAGGTTTGGAAGCTTGGTTTGGACATGAAAGATACGTGTGATCGAGTCACGATTGAGAAGATGGTTAGAGATCTGATGGCAGTGAGGAAGGAGGAGTTCCAGCAACACGTGGATCAGACGGCAAAGATGGCTAAGCGAGCTGTGAGTGAGGGCGGATCATCATACTGTAATTTGGACCGTCTAATTCAGGACATAAAATCGATGATTGTGTAAGCATATATGTAATTGATGTTATTTATGTTAAAATTAGAAAATTCTAAAAATTAAAATGAAGTTAAGCTCTCGTAGAACTCCGAAAAGTTTGATATTGCCTCTTTTTATTAATTGTATATTATCAATAACTTGTTGGTATGTCTATTACAATCAATATATAATATATATATATACATTTTGAAATAGTAAGAATATCTTTAGAAGGTATCATGACCTAAGTCACACCATTTGTGTGTATAGGGTGCCGCATCGTAGCTCCGAACGCGAATTAACGCTTTGATCGAGAGCGGGTGCGGCTGCAATTCGCGAATTCATATTTCAAATTCGCATATGGAGAAGTAGACGATGTTTTTTGCTTCTGACGAAAGGAAAAAAACAGAAGAAGAATGATTGTTGTAGGCTTGGTGAAGCTTGAGGTACATAAATACATCAAAGAAATTCTCCAATCCAAAGACTTGAGAACTCGAATAGAAGCTAAAATCACCCTAATTGAATGGGAATGGTAGAGAATCATCGGCCTCCACCTAGACGACCAGATTGATTCGTCCTCTTCTAACCATGGCTTATCGCTTGCCAAGTTTGATATATCCCACCGCTGTGCCCTACGTTTGTTGAGGTTGAGTGGTTTGTTTGGTGCTATATGCATATGCATTTAGACGATGTTTTCTTGGGCCTCTTGTTTTTAGGTCTTTATTGTTGGCCTTGTTTTGTTCTAAATGTATTCTCTCATTGGCCCAATATATATTTATCCAATTTATCTATGAAATTGCCTAAATTTCCTATATATATATATATATATATATATATATTCAGTATCCAATAATATATTTGAAATACAATAGCAACAAAAATATATTTATTAAATTAATATGATCATATTTCACATAAAATTAATATATAAACATAAACATATATACTATATAGACACATTTGTGATGCTCTCGCTGTGACCTAACTTTAAACTTTGCAGCTCTCGCTTTCCCATTCCTGCTACCACTCACACATTATGTTAGTTAGATCATGACTAGAATATGAGTCAATAAAGATGGCCGAGCCATGTCAACTTAGTTCTGCAGTTGCCATGCATCATCATACTTCATGATAAAATCGCTTTCTTTCAAACAAGTTACATAACTAGTGGTTTTCCATATGCCTCTTAATTGGACTTCTCTATCTGAAAAGTCAAAAACAATATCTGCGTCTATAACTTTTTTTGTAAAATTTGAGGTGACTTAAATTCATTGGCTCGATGATGTGTGCTGGTCAATGAAGAAAAACAAAGAGTTATTAAAGGTGTGTCATATAAAACCGTATACAATGAATGAGTGGTCTGTATACGGCTGTTTTTTTTTTTGGAAAGACATGTAAAGAAGTTAAATTGGATTAAATGGGGGACAGGGGCTAGGTCCATTGAATGGAAAGAAAGAATAGTCTTTGTTTGAATGTTGAACTTTGAAACGTGCATGAATAAAATAGTACGTATCATTTTACGCTAGGAAAATATCATTTTTTAACCAAGATGACATCCCACCAGTTAACCTAGGCCCCACTAACTCGAGGGTTATTCTTGCTTTAATTCCCTTAATTTTCTACTACAAAATATTAGGAATGTCAACTTCTTTCTATTCCACAGGTTTTCGTTCCGTCCGTTCTTAACGGAGCAAATTTGGCAAACCTTAAATTGGTTTGGGGTAGATATGATAAAAGAATTGACAAACTTTTAGTTATATATATCTGTTACAAAATTTACGCAACATTTTAAAATTTTTTTTATTTTATTCTAAAATTTTCCATTAGTATCAGATAGCCTTAAAATGTGAAACAATGTATGCAGCTCAATGAAGGCTCTTACGTAATGGTGAAGATGGTGACTGCGATGGTGTGGATATGGCGGTAATGGTTCAGATTGCAAGAAAGATGAAAAAAATTAAGGATGAGAGAGATTGAATAAATGTATTGGCTAATTATGATAAATTGACTATTTAAATTAATATTATTAATTATGATTAAGTCTAATAAGGTAATAAAGTGTAATTGACTAATTGAATTTTGGTCGTTGTTTTAGACTGCATGAGAACCTTCCTATATATAAATATATATACACTTCCAGCAAAGTAACAAGGATTCTAAAAATATGTGTGTGTTTAATATTTTTAGAATCCTTGTTACTTTGCTGGAAGTGTCTATTCATATATTAATATTCACTACTTAGAGAGGGAGATGACGTACGGGACGGTGACATTATATATATATATATATATGTTTAATATTTTTAAAATTCTTGTTATTTTGCTGGAAGTGTCCGTTAATATATTAATATTCACTACTTAGAGAGGGAGATAACGTACGGGACGGTGACATTCTATTATCCTAACTGACTCAAGTCATCATGATATTAAATTCTAAACTTTTTCACTTTTATTTTAACATAATTTCTTTATCCTCTTTGATGTACACATTAATTGTATCCATTATTTTCAACATGGATAAAATCTAGTGTTAAAATAATATTAATAGATTGATTCAGCCAAATATATATATGTATGTATATTTTCAAAACCAACTAAAAAAAATTGTATTCCGAAAAACAAAGTAGATCCAAAAATAAAAATAAAAAATTCACCATTAGATTTTCATTTTAGCACCAAAAATTTTAGCCTTAATAGGGAAGGACAATTAGGTATCAAAAATTGTAAGAATAAAATACTGTGTAGTGTAGGGACTTTTTTTAATTTTATTTGAAGAGAAAAATTAGGTGGAGAGCTGAAGCTAGCTAATAGTGGAGCTCCAATATCTGCTACGAATATATTAGATATTTTCAATATAATTTGAGGTCCAACGGTGTAATAGAGAAAAATTCCATGGTTAGGGACAAAGGTTCCCTTCAATTATTAAGAAAATAAGATCCAACAAGATATGATATGCAATCAATCAACATAATCAAAAAAAATATTTTAAAATTCCCCAAGTAATGTAATCTTCAATTTTAATTTGCATCAATTCTATAGTACCTACATTAATGTATTTGCTACTAGTAAGGTTGTCATGAAGAGTTTTTATACTGTACAAAAAAGAAGATTGTCTATAAGGTGCATATTAGGATGTACCGTGCTAGACTGTAAAAAGGTTAATGTATTTACTTTTTATTAAAAGTTTTTACACTTGTTTTTTTTCAATGTACATGTTAAACGGCCTAAACAGAGATTCGTCTTTAATCTATAAAATTTGTCGTGCCTATATGAAAATTTTCTAATAAAAAGTTAATATTGAATTATTTGTTAATTGAATATATCAATAACTTGACATTTTATATTATCTCTCCAAAAGCATAAGAGCATCATTGAAAAATATGAGGACGGAAATAAGAGTCCATAAAAAACGGCAGAGCCATACATGTTGTACCTGATTGAAATGCCATAAAAACGGCAGAGCCATACATGTTGTACCCGATTGAAATGCCATACATGTTGTACCTGATTGAAATGGTGGGTCTGTTAAATAGGGCCGATGGTCAATTTGGTATTTGTGGCCTCCAATTTAATGTGTCCGGTTGACTATGAGTCTTTATGTGTTGTAGATGCTAACGATTTTTTTTTTTTTTTTTTTTTTTTTTTTTTTTTTTTTTTTCACAACATACTCATAATTCAAGGCAAGATTTAAATGTGCAGTTTGAAAATGAGACCTCAAGAATTTACCCACTGAATTTTTGCGAAAACCTCTATGTCCCTTAACAAAGGCATATAAATAAGCTCACCCTATTATGCATTTCTAAATCCGCCCTTATTCCTAAGAGCAATTAATATTGTAGACGTTGGGTGGTTCAAATTTGTTGGCTTAATGATGTGTGGTCAATAGAACAAAATAAAAGGTGTGTTGGAAAACCATTTGGCAATTGAATGAATGGTGTGCACATGGTTATTGTTTTAAGGGTCATTTGTCCCATATTGAATTCGAATGAAAAAATAATTAGGTATAAATAGATGGGTATATAGTACTATCCAATAATTTGAATTTTTCGGTAAATGGATAATCGTTCATCAAGGTCCACACCCAATCTTGGAGTATCGGAAAACTTTAGATGGATCACCAACCAACACTCCCACCTCACATACTCCTGTTTCCTCTGCCCCTTCAGGGCCATGTGAACTCCATGCTGAAGCTAGCCGAGCTTCTCTGCCTTCAAGACCTCCATGTCACCATGCTCGTCTCCGACTACTGCCACAGTCGCCTCCTTCGCCACGGCAATATCCAATCTGGCTCCCTTCTCCATCCTGCAATTTGCTTCAAGACTATACTGGATGGCCTTCCTGAAGACCATCCGCGTGTAGGTGAACGAGTTTTGGAAGTTATGCCTCCTGATGTAACAGGACCCCTTTTCAGGGAGTTGATGACATCCACTGATTTCTTGGGCTCTGAAACCCGGAGGCCTGTGACGTGCATCATAGCAGACGGGATCCTGAAGTTTGCAGGTGATTTTGCTTTAGAAAAGGGAATACCACTCATTTATTTCCACACCATCAGCGCTTCCTCCTATTGGGCTTCTTTCTGTATTTTTCAACTCATTGAAGCAGATGAAATTCCCTTGAAAGGCATGTTCTTGTGCCCCTACCCTTGTTTTCTTTCTTTAATGAGAAAATTTTCTTTTCAGTGACTAACCAACATGATCATATATATATATATATATATATATATATATATATATATTGATTCTCTATCTTGTTGTATATGCGTTCAGGAAATGGCATGGACTCACCTGTAACAAGTGTTCCGGGCATGGAAGGTCTTCTCCGGCGGCGTGATCTCCCTAGTTTTTTCCGTGCCAATGATATAAATGACCCGCATATCCAATTGACAAAGACTGGAATTAGAAAAGATCTTCTAGCCCATGCTGTCATAAAGAACACCTTTGATGACTTAGAAGGACCCGTACTCTCTCAGATGCGCACTCACTTCCCCAATATATACAGCATCGGACCATTGCATGCTCACCGGAGAACCAGACTCGGTGCTGAGACGATGTCAACCACCTCGGGTAGTTTCTGGGGAGATGACCGGAAATGCTTGACGTGGCTGGATTCACAGCCGTCCAAATCCGTCATCTATGTGAGCTTTGGAAGTATCACTATCATGACAAGGGAGCAACACATGGAGTTCTGGTACGGCTTGGTGAATAGTGGGCAGCGATTCTTGTGGGTCATACGGCCGGACTTTATTGCTGCCGGCGAAGATGGGGAGAGTCAAATTCCGGGGGAGCTGGAGGAAGCTACGAGAGAAAGAGGGTACATGGTGGATTGGGCCCCACAGGAAGAGGTGTTGGCACACCCTTCCATTGGTGGATTTCTGACCCACAGTGGGTGGAATTCGACTTTGGAGAGTATCACTGCTGGAGTGCCGATGATATGCTGGCCTTACTTTGCAGACCAAATGGTTAATAGTAGGTTAGTGAGTGAGGTTTGGAAGCTTGGTTTGGACATGAAAGATACGTGTGATCGAGTCATGATTGAGAAGATGGTTAGAGATGTAATGGAAATGAGGAAGGAGTTGTTCCAGGAACGAGCGAATCAGATGGCAAAGAAGGCCAAGCGAGCTGTGAGTGAAGATGGATCATCCTACTGTAATTTGAACCGTCTAATTCAGGACATAAAATCAATGATTGTGTGAGCATACATGTAATGAGATGTTATTCATATTAAAACTAGACTTTTGAAGCTAAGTGAGGATCTCAAAATAACTGTTACAGTTTCTCCCTTGTTCTATCACATGCACACTTCGTGAATGTGTCCGTATCTGGGGCTGTGTATCTCTCTCAATAACAAATGTGGATTAGTTGTATGTCTATGAGAAAATGAATGAGTTGGCAGTAGTGAACACTCCGGTACTCTTGAATTCTTGCATGCTGGCAAATATTATGGAACTCATAGCTCCACAGTACAAAAGAATTGTCTGGGATTGTGCACGCCATCTACCCCGTGTAGTTGTGTCCCCGAAAGTATCTATCCGGCGAATACGATGAATGATCTTTATTTATCTTGGAAACTTACTACTACTCTTTAAAATCTTTGAAAATAAAAAGCTTTCAATGTTCTTTATATGTTTTAATTCTAGTGAAGAATCTTGGGTAATTAAATAAAAATGTAAGATAAATAGTCAGATAGGATTGGGTGATAAATAGTCGGATAGCACCTCGGGTTGATAAGTACACAATGCCAGTATAATTGAAGGATTTTAGTGTGCATTTTTTATGGCCCATCTTTTGCAGTTCGGTTAGCATTTGAGTACTTCGTAGCTTTATATATATATATATTTATTTTTATTAGGGTAAATTACCTCAAACTCTTGAGGTTCACTCTAACCTGTCCTGAGGTTTTAACAAAATAATAATTAGGTCCAACCCGTTAATTAATCATTTAACTGCATCACAATAGTTTTTGCAATGTTAAATTAACCTTTCAAATGAATAAAGTTATAGTTTTATCTTTGAATCAATTACCCTTCAAATGGATGAAGTTATGTTTTTATGATTGTGGGGGAAAAAAAATTATTTTAAAGAAGTTAACATGATGAGAGGATAGAGTTATTTTTTATTATAATTTAATTGAGAAAGTTGCAAATCTCATAGATTCTTTTTATTATATTTTTATAATTTTATCAGGAAATAAGTATTAAACTTGTGTGGAAATTATATATTAAAAAAAAAAAAAAAAACTTATGTTTGCCAGTTAAACTTACGCAAATCATTTTCCTTCTGGTTATGGAATTCAAAACTTGCGGGCATCTTTTTCTTTCCTGATAAGGCTCACTTTTATTACTATTTTTCTAATGGGTCCTCCATCTCTATTCTTCTGTAGCCCCCATATATCTTTCTTTTTATCAAAGGTAATATCTCTCTGTGCATATGTATCTTTCTTTCTCTTCATCTTGGTCCTTCTCTAGCCCCTCCCCCTCTCTCTTCTTCTCTCTATTTTTTTAATAGTAAAGCAAATACATACACTTTTTGTTAACACAGGACTCAATCCCTTCCCTCCTTAAAGGATAGAAAAATTATAGAAAAATTATACATCTCCATCTATATAGAGAGAACATAAAATAACTGTTTGTGTTTCATGATATCAATACCCTAATTAATCATTATCTCTCAAAATAATAAGAAGTTTTATTTTGGAAAAATTATTGGTACACCTTATGGACCCACATAGACGTGATACCCTGCCCAATACAGGTTGTCTACTGTTACTATGTCAGGTACATCCCACAGAAATTGAACACTCTGGATTGGCTGAAGAACAAAAGACACCTAAAGTAGTAAAAATTTCAAAAAAGTGAAGAATCCTGCCCAAACCCAAAACTGCTCATAATTGGGCTAACTGAATTGTTTTATGTTGTGGGCTAGAGATGATGTGATTATAATTGATGACTTCATCCCGCATCCATCGTACATGTGAATCCTCGAGCACAAAGTCTGAAGACTGTAAAAAAAAAAAAAAAAAAAAAAAAAATGTCGGAAGACTGGAGCACAAAGTCATACATGTGGTAATATTTTTCTACGTAATGAAAAGACCGTTCTTTAACCATATCCAATGCACCAATTAACCTAGGCCCCACTTACACGAGGGTTAATCATAGCCTTCACTTGTGCACTGGAAAACACACACTGCATGGGAGAGAGTTCTCCCTCGGATCGCCCTTACATATCAAGCTTTGTAACACCATAAACCATACTCGAGTCTAAGTGGATTTTATATAGTGTATATATATATATATATATAACTGTGTTTCTGCTTAGAGTATCAAAAATCTTTCGATGGATCACCAATCAGCAACACTCCCACCTCACATACTCTTATTTCGTGCGCCGATTCAGGGCCATGTGAAACCCATGCTCAAGCTAGCCGAGCTTCTCTGCCTTCATGACCTCCATGTCACCATGCTCATCTCCGACTACTCCCACAGTCGCCTCCTACGCCACGGCACTATCCAATCTGGCTCTTTTCTCCATCCTGCATTTTGCTTCAAGACCATACCGGATGGCCTTCCTGAAGTCCATCCGCGTGCCTGTCTACGAGTTATGGAAGTTATGCCTCCTAATATAATAGGACCGCTCTTCAGGGAGTTGATGACATCCACTAATTGCTTGGCCTCCCAAACCCGAAGGCCCCTAACGTGCATCATAGCAGACGCGATCCTGAGTTTTGCAGGTGATTTTGCTTTAGAAAAGGGAATACCACTCATTTCTTTCCCCTGCATCAGCGCCTGCTCCTACTGGGCTCTTTCTGTATTCCACAAGTCATTGAAGCAGATGAAGTTCCCTTCAAAGGCATGTATGTTCTGCCACTCTTGTTCTCTTTAATATGACAAAAATATATTAATCACCTGTTTCCATTGACTAACTCTCATTATGCATTCAGGAAATGGCATGGACTTACTTGTAAAAAGTGTCCCAGGCACGGACGGTTTTCTCCGGCGGCGTGACCTCCCGAGTGTTTTCCGTGCCGACGATATCAACGACCTGCATCTCATTTTCTTTAAAACTGAGTGCAGAAAAAATCTTCTATCCCATGCCCTCATAAACAACACCTTTGACGAGTTAGATGGATTCATACTCTCTCAGATGCGCACTCACTTCCCCAATATATACAGCATTGGACCATTGCACGCGCACTTGAGTGCCAGACTCGCTGTTGATACGACGGCATCCTCCTCAACCTCTTCTGGTAGTTTTTGGGACCATGACCGGAAATGCTTGACGTGGCTTGGTTCACAGCCGTCTAAGTGGGTAATCTACGTGAGCTTTGGAAGTTATACTGTAATGACAAAGGAGCAACACATGGAGTTCTTGTATGGTTTGGTGAATAGTGGGCAGCGATTCTTGTGGGTCATTCGACAGGACTTAATCGCTGCCGGCGAAGGTGGGGAGAGTCAGATTCGGATGGAGCTAGAGGAAGGTGCAATAGAAAGAGGGTACATGGTGGATTGGGCTCCACAGGAAGAGGTGTTGGCACACCCTTCTATTGGTGGATTTCTGACCCGCAGTGGGTGGAATTCTACTTTGGAGAGTATAACTGCTGGAGTGCCGATGATTTGCTGGCCTTACTTTGCTGACCAACTGGTTAATAGTAGGTTAGTGAGTGAGGTTTGGAAGCTTGGCTTGGACATGAAAGATACGTGTGATCGAGTAGTGATTGAGAAGATGGTTAGAGATCTGATGGAAGTGAGGAAGGAAGAGTTCCGGCCAGGAACGAGCAAATCAGATGGCAAAGAAGGCCAAACAAGCTATCAGTGAAGGTGGATCGTCCTACTGTAATTTGGACAGCTTAGTTCAAGACATTAAATCAATGAGTTCAAGCTATCAGTGAGCATGTTTGTAATCGGATATTATTTATATTAAAATTAGAAATTTGAAAAAGCTCATTAAAAAAAAAAAAAAAACTCATTTACTTTGTTTAACATATTTTTCTTCAAGAAGTACAAAAACAATAGGGAAATGATATATATATATATATATATATTCTCCTGGAAAAGAAGTAATCAAATACAGATCAGTGGCTTGTTGGATTACATAATGGGTTAACAGAAATTAAACATAATGGTTACAGATGTGTTAATCCCACAATATATTAGGTTTCATTTGGATTTAGTGATTTGAAAGAAAAAAAAAAAAAAAAAAGAGAGATTCTGAAAATCATGTTTGCCTTAATAACTTTTAATGAAGTGAAAAGAAAGGATTCAGAGAGATTTGGAGGGATCGATCTCATGTACTATCCTCAAAAAAAAAAAAAAAAAAAAAAAATAAAAATGGTTTGGAGTGACCCTCTTATAAAATTTAACTCCTATCTTATAACATTTTATAAAAGAGTTATAATAATAATTTAATTCTTAACTTTTTTTTTTTCTTTTCTCTCCTCTATCATTTAATACTATTATTTCTCTTTCTTTTTTTTTTTTCTCATAATTTATTCAAATATTAATAAAAGTTATTGCTATCATTTCTTCTTTTCTTTTCTCTCGTGTTTATTCAAAGGAAGGCTTAAATCCACTATTTTCTTTAAAAAATTGGTGGTTTACTTAAATCAAGATTCTTCAATTAAAGAAAGTGAACCCGCAAAAATGTAATAAAAGCGACAAAGTGCAATAAAATCCTTTCAACTGTATCCCATTTAACAAAATAAGCCTCACTCCCAAACTCTAGAAGTGGTGACAAAAGAAACCCTGAACTTCGGACTTTGGTTGCAATATGCCCAATCCAGTGACCGGCCTATTGAATTTATTTAGTTAAACAACCCAAACATAATTAAATTCATACAGCCCACCTAAAAGGTAAGAGACCATAGTGCCCTTTTATTATCATTAGACATAACCCAGCCAAACGTGCCCCGTCATCTATCTCAATAATGCCATGGTCTATCTCTTATCTTTCCAAAAATCCATAATTTACGTCTTCCTCAATTTGTGGCTTCTAATTCTCTCCATCTCTATCTGCATGTATGGGTGTGTATATATATATATATATATATATATATATATATATATATATTGTTGAATCGTTCAAACATTAATTGCCAAGGGATGTGCGTCTTTGCCTCTGTATAAATACACACATATATAATGAAGTGAAAATTGTGTGTTGTGATCTACAATAAGCTATTCAGTACACACACTAATGCCAGAACTACCGAAAAATCCATGAAAACCACCGTTTCCAAATGACTGAAGCAACAAAGCTTGGTTCAAACCTGACTCTCCGACGCCATTCATTTAGCCGAATAGGCGCGCTATAATTGGCACACCAGACCGGCTTGGATCAAAGTATGATGAAGGGAGAAGATGAAGTGGGTTGTTATCAATATCTTTTTCCACCTTCCTTGCATTCTCAGTTGTTCAAGCTGAGCCACACCCATACCTCTCTTAGGTTGCATCTTCTTCTGAGTCCACTTGTTCAAGCTGAGCCACACCCATACCTCTCTTAGGTTGCATCTTCTTCTGAGTCCACTTGTTCAACTTTGATTTTCTCCTTCTACCATGTTTCCCATTTTCAGACCTTGTTTATTCAGACCCATTAAAGCCTTTTGTGTTCTGATCATCGCAAGCCATAAAATTAAGTAGCCATTAACAATCAATGAAGAAAATGGGTCTTAAGCAAGGTTGTTAA